TATATACACACACACACACACACACACACACACAGACACACACACACAGAGTACATTAATCTGAATCAGACACTGAGTTGTCAGTCTCCATAGCGACTTCTGTGTTTTTACAATATTTTTTCATTTCATCAACTTGTGACCAGCAGTCCTGTACAAGTTTTACTTGCTTTTAACCCTCTAGAAAAGCATTTGTTACACTTTTTATAACAATACAGACAGGCACTTGACCTTAGTGGTTTCCACCATGTGCTATGCAAGGGCTGTCTGTCTGTCTGTATCTACCTACCCACACTGTTAGTGAAAACCCATAATCTCTTTTAGGGGATGACATCGTCATCTCATGCAGCTTCTTTTCTTTTGGTTAGGAATAAAAAGTAATCAATGCTGTTATCACTGAATTAGGAAATTTGGAAAATCTCTAAAGAGCAATTAAATTACAAAGCACAAAGTCAGTGAACTTTTAGAACGTGTCAGCCTCTCTCATAGAAGGGCTATTTTTGCCTACTCTTGCATGGGATGAATAAACTGAAGCTTTTTAATTGGAAAGCTATTCACTTGTAATTAGGGTAGCTGGGGAGCTAAACTGGGACAGTAAATTTAAATCCTTTTACGTTCACAGCAACATTTGCTGGCATGCAGGAACAATCCATTCACATGGGCACAAAGTATCATAATATTTGTGAAATCTTAATGAAGAGAGTGCATGCTGATTAAAACTGTAACACAGTTACTGCTCTTTTTTCTGTATTCAACTGTTCTGTCTTGTAATGATGATCACAGGATGGCATGTTAATTTCATGTTGGCACTGGTTTGTTAAAACCCAAGAGAAACAGGTCACAGTGTGACTAATCCTGTAGCGTGTACAGTACTGAGCAACTACGTTTTAGATCAGTTTGAGTAGTTATCCGACTCCTAATGTAGAGCAATCAGCAGCTCTATGCATCAGTTCATGTCAATGGTGTTGAAAACCCACTCAGTGAACTTCTTGAGCTTGGCTGAGGCGCTGTAGGATTCCTCCAGAAGACGCTGGTTGTCCTCTCGCAGGCTCTGAATCTGAGCCTGCAGTGACGCTTTGGCATCCTTCTCCTGAATGTGACAAAGACACTCGTAGTTTTTGTCCGTATTTATATAATGCACTTCATGATTAACGAGAAAGTACTAGAAAAAAACCTGAGCAATCTGATGTGAAATTTTGGGTTTTTACCTTTCGTTTCACACCTTATCTTTACTTGTGCTCAAGAAAAAACACACATCAAGGTTACTTCAGTTATTCAAATCTTTGTCTTCAAAGCACAACTGATGACATTAGATTAATTACAAATCCTCTGGAAAAAAATGTAATTTGGTTTTTAAGCTGTTTGTTTAATAACTAGGTTACTTTTTGATATCAAAACAAATCAGATTTATCATGCATTGCTATTCAAAATATGAATGCTTGTTAATTACATTACAGTTAAACTGTGTAGCATTCTGTCCGTGCAGATTCTCAGTCATCCAGGTCATAGTAAGCTAGAAAAACTTAGAAAAATCAACAGAGTTGTTTTGCGATCTCTGCCCAAACACGCCCACCAGGACAATAGGCGTCAGTCCACAGGTGAGAGTTCAAAGACAGGTAACGACTCTCACCAATACTGGGCTATAATGACTCAGTCGTTAGGGGACACTGTTGGCCTTCAAAGGACTGAAAGACCACCGAAGGGGATAAATATCTCCGACTCAACGCCAGTCAGGCAGAACTGATTAAGCCTCTTGGATGAGAGTTGAAACGTCTTTGACCTAAAAACCTAGTCCAGTTGATTTTTCTATGTTTTTTCAGCTGTGTGGCATTCTGAAATGCTCACAGTATCATTTGCAGAAGCATCAGCATTAACTAAAAAAAAAAAGTTTCAATCAACTGATATTTATAAGGATAAGGATAATACACCTTTATTGGCCAAGTATGTTACACACAAGCAATTTGTTTCCGGTACAGAACCGATGGCAGCCATCTGCGGCGCCAACTCAACCGATGGCTCTATCCATCAGAGGCAACTTGGGGATCAGTGTCTTGCCCAAGGACACTTCGACATGTGGACTGGAGGCACCGAGATTCGAACCTTCAACCTTCTGGTTGGGAGACAACTGCTCTACCCACCGCATCACTATGGAGTCTTTAATAGCTCTAGTGACTTTACAAATGCTGTATGTCTCAGTAAAACAGGAGACGAGCTCTCAGTCTGAATCATAACTCACTTTCCTCAGGTCCTCCTGTAGTGCCTTCACCAGTGACTCCAGTTGGCCGACCTTCCCCATCAGACAAACTGGAGTCTCTCTGTGAAAAGGGACCATTAGCTGGGACAAAGCAGTGGTTGTCTGTGCAAATTCATTTTATACAGGTTATCAATCGGACACAAAGACTGGAACAAGTCATGTTCACAGACAGGTATGCATTAAGTAGAAAAGGCAGCTAATTAGTGGTAGTAGCTGCAGTAGTGTTTCATAGGGCTTAACTATGCAGAGTTTTCCATGGAACAGAGCTGGACACCAGTGGATTTAAGCAAAGGCTGGTCCCAGGCTGTGACCTAAGGCCTCTTACCCAGGTGAGGGCTGTTTCAGTGGGGCTGCTTGAGGCTCAGCCTGCTGGGGGATGGTGGCTGCTGCACTCTCAGCCATGGAGTTCTCCTCCTGGGCTGCTAGGAAGACCAGCCTTTGCTCTGAAGGAAACACAGCAAAAGACTATTATTAAACTGCGGCAGGGCAGCACAGTGCAGTGATTAGCGCTGTTGCCTCACAGCAAGAAGGTTCCGGGTTTGAGCCCTGGCCAACTGTGTGCCTTTCTGTGTCACATTTGCATGTTCTCCCTGTGCCTACGTGGGTCCTCTCCGGCTTCCTCCCACCGTCCAAAGACATGCAGCTTAGGCTGATTGGTGACCTTAAGTTGCACGTAGGAATGAGCGTGTGTGTGTGTGTGTGTGTGTGTGTGTGTGTGTGTGTGTGTGTGTGTGTGTGTGGGTGTGTGTGTTTTTTTGTCTGTGACAGACGGGTGCCCTGTCCAGGGTGAACCCTGCCTCTCGTTCACTGTCAGCTGAGATCGGCTCCAGCCCCTCTGTGACCCTCATTAGTATAAGTGGAATAGATAATGGATGGACTGGAGCAAGAACCAATACAGAGCAACAGTACCCACATCTGGTATTAACTGAAATGACACCACCCTCTACTGAAAAGCAATAAAAGTAGTTAACTTTAATTTGCAATGATTTTCTGGGAAAAAATGAAAACACAATATGTGCCTACCCTCGAAGGCCTTGGCAGCATCTACCAGGTGGGCCCAATCCAGCGGGCCATCTGCACCAGTGTCAGGCAGGGGCATGAGGACAGGGTCCTGCAACTGCTGCTGCTGCTTCTCCTGCTCCGACTCAGAGTTCTCTGGGGCTGACAAGTCTCCTGTGTAAGATAAATAGCAAAGTAAAACACACTGGACACACTTTGTTTCTGCTCTCCCATGACAGAAAAACAGAGAAATGCTGCAACAAAAACCAATGCTACATTTAATTTGATATTGTCTGTCATATTTTGGCCCTTTGGACATGTGTAGTCTCTGTTTTTTCAGATCAAATCAAATCAAATCAAATTTTATTTGTATAGCGCCAAATCACAACAAAAGTCATCTCAGGACACTTTACAAAGTAAGGTCTAGACCTTACTGTTATCACTATTATTACAGAGGGAAAACCCAACAAATCCCCCTTGAGCAAGCACTTGGCGATGAGATTATGTGATGCATATTACATTTTCCGAAGTGACTACTTTTGTTATAACTACATATGTATCATACTCCCAACTCCTCTGTCTTCAAGTACTATTGAAGTTTCACCTAGGGATTTGTATGATGATCGGCGGCTTGGTCCACGGCGAGCAGTGGGTGAGCGTGGCATGGTCAAGCAGCTGAACAGAAGGTCAGTGGTGGTATCACGCTGTCCGCTGGAGGACGGTCCCCTCTGCCCACCGTAGATACTCTCATCTGATAGTGTTCTCTGGAGTGAGCGACGATTGGGCGGTGGGCCCAGAAATAACGGCTTCACACAGGGGTGGAAACAGACAAGGAGTCGCAAAATTCAAGTAAAACAACGTTAGATCCATTGAAAATAATATTTAATTGGAAGAGTCACTTTCAAATAAACACTAGTAAAAAAAACAAGATGTTACTCTCAGCGGTTGCCAGTCCGTTTTGTCAGACAGACCCCAACATTCCTGAGTTGAACTCAAGTACCTCTTCATCGATCCTGCCCATCATGTTCCAAGTATGTTCTCATTAATAGCTTTTAAACTAATTTAAATTCTATGCCCACTTGCTAGTTGGTGTTAAATGAGTTGTAACTGACTTGGGTTGATATAATTTTTTTAAATGAAATCTTAGTTTCCTTTTTTTTTTCAGCTGAGCTGAGTTTCCCCACATACTCCCTGGCTTAACTGCCCATGGTCATGAATCACTGTACTATGTTACCATCACCAGTATAGACAATTAAGCCACAGCCTTTCTCAGCACCTTCTCTTCATGTGCAGTGGGTGGAGGGCTGTCAAGCATTATGAGCTTCTTCAAGTCTTCTTCCAAGCTGGACTTGGCAGTGGTCCGCTGGGGCGACGAGGAGTCACGGAGATTGGCCCTGAGCTGCAGCTGGCCACCCAGGTGACAGTCACTCTGGTGCCGTCTGGAGATAAAAGTAAAGCCTAACTCAGACAGATAGTGTAGTTCTTAAATCCACAAAAAGACGCACAGACAATGAGAAAATTTAAAAAGAGCAAATAAAGGTAATAGAGGCGGTGGTCTGGAATGTAATAAAGCATGGCTGTGATTAGAGGTCACCAGTTCAAATTCCCAAACAGGATGGGACAATTTATGAATGATAAGTTGTTCTCTTGACATGACCATGACATTACACTTAACCATTTAATCGCTTCAGAAGAAGAAACTGGTCTGCTGAGCAGCTGCAGGAAGTGAAATTACCATTGTCATTAGCCACAAGTGATGCATTCACTCTTTGGCCTAAACACAAAGATGTGTTGCCTCAATTAAATAAAAAAGTTGAAATTCTGAAAGTTTAGTCACCCTTTCCTGGTAACCAAACACCACTAATAAAATATCTTTAAAGCCCAGTTATACCAGAGGGTGGCAGTGTTGACCACATTAAAAATCATCAACATCAGTTGAGCAGTCACTGGGACAAAAGATGACAAAAAGTCCTTCCTTCCCATAGCCTCTGTCACATCAACATCACTAACAGAAGGGCACATTTCTACACTGAATGATAATGCAGGCACAACATAGTGAACTGCATGAGAGAGTGGAAACTAGTCCTATTTTACTTGCGAGTGCTGCCAAAGTCCACAGAGTTGACGGTTCCCCCAGGTTTCCTCCATCCGATTAGGTATTTTGATGTTGCTCCTTGACGAGGGTAGAAACTCTTGGTCCCTGGGGATTGGGGTTTAGGGGATGTGGGTGAAGTGGCTGGGGCTGCTGCTGCTGCTGCTGCCTCCTCCTGTGGTGACATGGGGATGCAGCCCTGACCCACTGGGCTCCCTGAGTGGCCAGAACTCAGCATGCTGGAAAATGAAGGCATGTGCATAGAAAGGAATCACAGACTTTAATATTTATGTAATAATAAAATACAGAAGCAGCTAGAGCAGATTAGATGCCTGCTGCTGTTGTTTAAACTATGAAAAATATGTTGATATCTGTATCAAGACTGTTTGCATATATAGACAACCAGACTGTCTAAACCTTTAGTAAACTTGTTCCATCCCTATATCTCCTACAATTTCTGAAGATGGAATCAACTGATGAATTGATCTTTAAAAAATGACATTGTGTCTTTGCACTTAATTACCAGCACATTCAAATAACATTTCTCCTTAGTTTGACATAAAAGCTTGTGTTTTCAAATGGCAAGTTTTGACTGCCTACAAGTGTGTGTGCACATGCTATAATAAAGCTGCCAGTGTACAGGTGTGGTGGAGCAGAGTTATTTCTGGCTGAGGTGAGAAGAGAGGGAGGTAAGCTAAAGTTGATTCAAGGAAAGTGGGCTTTAAATGAGAGGGAACAGCACTCAGCATATTTTGCACTTCTAGCAACTCAAGCACTTCCTTTCTATAATGTACACTGGGAGATGGAGATGCAACCAAATGCAAAGACCACACACACACACACACACACACACACACACACACACACACACACACAGTTATTTCATTGTTCCTCTCTCCCTTTCTTAATGCCAAAGAGCGAAGGTTTGGACTTCTCCCATCATATATGTTACAGCATACATGCATATACAGTATCTGGACTAGAACAAATCACTGTCTAATGAAAAATTGATGCCAGGACACAAATTCCTCAGCTGACTCTAACAGAACAGCAGCACACCTGGAGTGGGAGGCGCCATCACTCCGGCTGTAGGAGCCACTGTCAGGAGCTGGTGGGCTCTTTTCCGGGTTCTCACTGCTTCCAATGGCAACAAGGTTGTCTGTTGTTTTAGGCAAAGTGTCAGTGGCCCTCTGGCTGCCTGCTGAGTCATCCTGCCATGGGATTTTCTCGCTGCCCCTAAAGGCACCAGTGGAGGAAGATGTGCTGCTTTGGGTGGCAGTGAAGGAGGTGGCATCAATGCCGCTGTCAGTGGAGGTGCCCTGAAGGTAACCGCTGAGCTCCAACTCACTCTGCACTCCAGAACGTGAGCCAACTTCGTACCACTTCTCATCACTGTGCACAGAGCTGGAGGCGTTGCTGGAGAGCGTGTTGCTGCTTGACTGGCTGGAAGAATATGGCGTGTCCACCTATTGACAGACAAGAAATCAAATGATCATTATCAAACTTGGAAAAAAAAACATGATTCTCCATATCTGTCTGTACATATTCCCCAAAAATAGTTTGCCAATGTGTCTAACCTTTATCACTTAAATAACTTGAAGAACACACACCTGCTCATGCCACTGTAGTTCTTAAGGAGTTAGAAATATTTCAGTGACTGGTCTTAGTACAGGTTGGTATACACATACTGTAGCTCTTATTGAGAAGTACATAATCTTTGCCAACAGCAGTCGTTTGGTTACCACAGGGCTTCCCTCATCAATCTGTTTCCTGCCATCAATTAGGAAGAAGAAAATTATATACAATATGTTGTGTTGTTGATTCCAGCTCACCTTAGTGCTTTTGTTAGGAGACATGTGGTCGCTCTGCTCTGCCAGATGAAGTCGAGAAATCACTGCCTTGGAAACCACAGTGTCTATATAAAGCAAAGACGTACAGGAAATTAGATCTGTAGATAGGTTACAGCATAGTGAAAGTCATGTTTCATCTGATGCTATCACTAATACCATGTTCTAATTTCAGAGTTCCTCTTACCTGCATTGCTTTTGTCCCCCAGTCTGCTGCCTGCATCCGCCCCCCCAGTTCGGGTCCATCCAACACCAGTGCTAGATGACGCTTTGATCCCACTGGTCATATCACCTGCCTGCTGCACAGATGACACAGGGTCATGGCAGTTGTTGTTATTAAACCTGGAAGTGAGACAGAAAAGGTCATCTATGTTGCCAGGTACAGTAGTGCAGCAGGCCAATTTAGTGTACTGTATGTGATCCATTATAAAGGCAAACCTACCCATCAGGCATAGATTTCTGCCTCCAGTGGCTGGAGCTCCCCTTCCAGTCTGTGTAGGAGAGGCTGGAAGGGGAGTTTGTGTTGTGCAGTGTGCGACCCATCATGATGGTGCCGACAAGAGCGTAATTGTCATTGCTTGGGGAATATCTGTGAAGAAACATATGGATGGCATCAAAGACATACTAGAGCCAGAGAGCTCTGAGTTCAGTGTGTCAAAGGTTTCATAACAGCATCATATGCATTCTGTGACCTTTTGGAGTTAAGGGGCCGGCCATCACTGGACACACTGCGGGGAATAGCAGAGTTCCGGTCACTAAAGTCTGAAGGTGGGGCCTTGATCAAGGTCCCCCCAGTGCCAGCAGCACGTGTTTGTGGGCTGGATGTAGTGCGTGGCCACCTGGTGTTGTTGCTGGTGGGGCGGAAGGGGAACTTTAACTCATAGGGCATGCCCTCCTTGTGATTCTTGTAGTCCACTAGAGGCATGTGGTAGATTTCCGAGCAACCTCTGTTGGCACATGATGTGTTCACAGTCAGAAGACGCTAGCTTCAAAAATCTACTGTCAACTGCATTTGGTAAAATTTCCTTTGCATTTACTGATCATCTTTGTCCACTCTACCTGCGTGGCGTAGAGTCTTCATGAGGAGGAATGATAACCACCTTCACAGTGACCGAGGTTCGGAGCAGGTCGATCATCTGCTCGTGGGACAGTGAGGCTACTGCCACCTTACAAATCTCCACCAATCGACTGCCCTGCCTGAGACCAGCCTGCCAGGCATAACCGTAGGGCTCAACCTCGGCTACAATGCCCTCAAAGTTGACATGAAAGCCCAGCTGGCCTAGTGCGTTACGGCGCAGGGTCATGTCTGTGGTCTGACTGCCTTTAGTCAACAGCTACAGAACAGACAAAGGAGTGAGAAAGAGAAATGCATAAAACTTGCAAACATGCTCCTACAAACCATATCTTTTGTAGGTGAACTAATATGTAATAATTTCACCACAATCTCATGCTTTAAGATAAATCTGACCTGATACTAAAACGTACCCAAATAAGCTGAGGCACATATTTGAACCACATACCATGAATAGAAGCACCTTAAATTATTCAGCACACTCTCCTGATAATGGCTTACTGTTAAGACACCCTGTCTAGCCCTTTCTCTACCTAGCCCAGGAGTGATTCACAACAGGAACAGAGCTTCAGTCAGCCACAACAAAGACTGTGGAAAAAAACATCCCTGCTTTACAAGAAGGGGGACATGCCAGAGCTGGTAGCAGGCAACACTAATGTTTTACCATCAACTAAAAATGCTCTGTCAGAGAAATGATTTAAATGCCCCACCAAAAAGTCATTACCTATCCCACAGTAAAAACCTCAGTAATCATATCATATCACCAAATGACTACATATTGTGCTTAGCATGACTTACTGTCTAATCATAGAGTCAACACTACAACTGTGGCTTTTGGGTGATTGTATAATTTGAGGCTACGCCCTTATGTTGCTATAATAACATCAGCGATACTTATATTTTCATACTACTGTTGTCAGGGAAGTGGACACAGGGCATCGCATGGCCTCACAAACTCGATCATGGGACTGGAAGTCAGCGATAACAATTAAAAAATTCACAAAGTACTTGTTGTCTACAAGACTGTTCAGTGGCTACAGGGACAATCCAAAGGGCCCTAACCTTTGTACTCAGGCTGCAGAGGCTGGCTGATTTAGAAATGGGTCCTTATTTTATGTGTGTAAATTGGAAAAGATTTCCGTATTACTAGCTAGAATATAAATATAATTTAAAGCAGTAATAACATTCATGATAGTCAGAGATAAAAGGGCTTATGGGTGTAATGTCATAGACAGTAGTGGTGTCCCACTGACCTCCAGTCTTTTGACAACCTCTCCAAAATCTTCTGTGTTGTTATTGATGGACCGCAATGACACACTCTCACCACGCTCATAGTAGATCTTCAGGGAGGCAGGGCTCCCCGTTGACCAACCAATCACATCACGTGTGGTGCAGTTAAATACAACTGCTTTGGCCTCCTGATCCAGTAGGATGATGAAGTCATTTGAAATGGCCAGCAGGCACTCACGTTCAGCACCGGCTACCTGATCTTCAACATGCACCTGCCAGGTCACCGCTCCCAGACTTCGAAGCTCTGCCCCACTGTATGGACGCACCCTCTCGCGCCGTTTGTGTGCCAGAGAGATGAAAGGGAATTTCCCAGCGGGTTCTACTGGAGTACTGGTCACATGACGCTCTGCTAAGTCCCGTAGGTACTCCTGCCGTGTGCGTGTTGCCATGGCGCCAAACTTATCTGACTTGTGGGCTGCGTTCTCAGCGTTTATGACTTTGGCCAACAGGAAGTCCCTGAAGACAGTGGACTTGGGGAAGGTCACACCATTGGGGATTGGTGGGCCAAAGGAGGGGACATCCTGGGAGCGAGTAACAGCCACACTGTGGAGGAAGAAAATGAGAGTTCTGCGGTTTGATGTCACTGTAAACAAACAAACATCTGCACATTGATTTTTAAAAGGCCTTTGTGCTTTAAAAGTATGGCTTGTTTTAATATAATGTTTTAATCTGATTGTCATAAAATGATATATGGTTGCAAAAATATAGACTACAGGAAAACAAATGGATATAAAACAGAATTGGATATGTATGTGTCATTATAAATACATAAGCCAAATAGCATTAAACAAAAACAAACTGGTATGGATAAACTGAGACAAAAAACAGAGTTGTCAACTTATTTTCATCATTGTCCTGTAACCTGAGAAAAGTTATGCTGCAAGCAAAAGCAGCACATGGGCTCATAGAAAACAAAGTCGAGACATCTTTCTCATCCCAGAGGTGTTGTTGCCTCTGACCTGTTTCACCTGTGAGTAAAAAGGAGGGTGTTAAAAATCCTTGTTTGCCTCCATCTCCCCAATTCCAAATGCTCAAATTGGTTGTCCAAGGGTTTTTTTACGGTAAAAAACATAAGCAACAATAGCAGACAAACAAAAATCCCCAATTATTGCACATCATTATTCATACCACAATTATCCAATAAACATCAGTACATACTATACATTAATACATAAATACAGGGATTTAAGTAGGGCATAAAAAGAACAAAATTTATAAATAATAAAAGAAAATATCAGCTGTCTAGAGTTTGATTATTATAAATTAGTAAGCAGGAAATGCTGTCTCATACCTGTCAGGCTCAATGTACAACAAATTAATTAAACAAATTGTTCTACTAAACATATTAGGATTATTTTACCATTTAGGATGATATTTGAATTGCTCAAGCAGGTAGTAGCATGTTTATTGTAGACACACTCTAGATTCATAATTCCTACAATTCCTACTGATAACTATCAAGGTTAATTTGTGGGCTAAATGGGCATACATGCAAACAGATACCAGGATTTATGCTCATTACTGGCATCACAGTCTGGTATGGTAACACCACACACCTTCAAAGGGTCATAAAGACTGCAGAGAGGATCATTGGGACTGAACTGCCTGCTATGGACACACTGTACACGCAGCGCTGTCGTAAAAGGGCAGAGAATATACTCAGGGATCCACGCCACCCAGCTCACACTCTGCTCAGACACAAAAACTGCACCTACAGCCTCAGGCACAGCAGGGCGGACAGTATCATCACACAAAGAACTAGGCTTTACAACAGGTTTCTCCCTGCTGCAGTAAGACTGATGGCAAATACGAAAATGTGAGAAATGTGAGAATATATGTGCAAAAATCAATCACTACCTCACCAAGCGTAATGCCATGTGGATTACTAAGTGCGATGTTTGAAGTTCACTGTGGGGAAATACCATTACCCTATTTTTGTGTATTGTGTTTTAATACTTTGTCGCCCTTACGTAACTTTTTATTTTAAGACTAAATGTTCTTTCTGGCTTTCGACTCCTTACCTGACTCCAAAGGAGAGCTGCACAAGAATTCGTATATGCCTAGACTGTCTGTTTATGCATAAATGGCAAATAAAAATCTTGAATCCTTAAAAGCACAGGAGTTTTTGACCAGACAGCTTTGGATAAGCTGATGTGGCAGCCCTGACAAGTCTCCATTCAGAACACTGACTGTAGCAGAAATGTTGCGAACCATGTCTGACTACACTCAGCATCTAAGTACTATACTGTACATCCAATCAAAGTTGACAAGCCAGCCCAGTGCTGACACCCTGCCACTCTCTGCTACGTCATGGTATGGGGAAGCAGCACTACAGCTAGAGCTAGCAAGCACAAACAGTCTAGGTTTCCTAAACAGAGATACAGTTACAGCCTTGTCGGCCCTGTGTGACTTTGAGGCAGTGGTTGAGATTAGTACCAGCAGTAGTAGCAGCAGATTAGTACCTCACTGGCCCCGAGCCACTTACTCCTCTAATGCCCCCGACCTGACTCAATATGACCTGAACATAATCCATCTCAGCAGCAGGCAACAACAAGCTATTAATAACTAGATGACTCAACAAATCATAACATACACATTACTAATAAAGATAAAGCAGAGACCGTATTACTGACATGCTCTTTTTCAAGATAGAATAATTTGAGATTTTGAGAAAATGCAAAACAACAAACATTTAAGGGAAATTGAGTTATAAGTTAGTATGTGTGCCTGTAAGACTTTCTGAGAGTGATGGGTGTGTTTGTTTGCAAATATGTGAAATGCTTATGTGGATCCAGAGGCTGTGGTGTACAGTAACTAGGCAGCACTCAGACAGTGCAAACCTCTACTAAAAGGCAACTCGGTTTCCCCATAATGTCATAAAAGCAATACTCCCATGATAGTTTGGCTCTCATAATATGATTGCCAACCATGAAAACCGACTGCTGGCATTTGTAATGGGATCAATGTCGCCATCAATCTGTGAGGTTATGGTAAGTGACAGTAAAGGGGATCACAGGCTGTACCACTTGTTAGACTCCGAAAGTGGAAATGCAGCTATGTGTTAATAATGTGTATAAGATGTAGCTGCCTGCTAATAGAGCTAGATTGGTCAGATAACAAGTGCTCACACCTCAGAAAACATCAGAACAAATTCTAAACTGGCTTTACTTGGATAGACTGAGCATGTATTCTTAATCTAAGTGGTTACTTTGTCACCTGAAAAGAGTAGTCCCTGCCTGTTTAGCTTTTTCAGCATTTTTAAAAGCCCCTACTCGAACACGCTGTTTGGATTTGTCTCTCTTTATGACATCTTACAAAATGAAGCAGCAGTTCATTTCAGAAATCCTCCTCCCACTCAGATCCATTTTTGGTGCTTCCGGTCAGCCACTGTGATTTTCCCTCTAGAACAGCAATATTGCATAGCTCAAGATGGAAGCACGGATTCCGCTCAGTTGTTGGTTGCACAAACAAGCACACAAGTCGCTGCCTACTTCCATCCTCAAAGCCAGCAAATTTATGGTGGAAATGCTCCTGAATATATCCCTAAAACGTTGCATGACATTGCTAATCCTTTCAATTAGCACAATCAATTCACCGCAATCAATTCAACTGCTCTGCATGGTTTCTAACAAAACCAATGCACCACAACATACAAACATCAGTAGAAAACACTTACCTCCTGGAGTCACCAAAAACCAGACATGCTCTTCTGATTACTGCTGCAAAATATTCTGAATCTCTGTTAGACCAAGTGATTTGGGCCAATGCTAACTTAATTCTGCTCTACAGATACAATTCAACACTCAAAAGATACACTGTTCAGTACGGTGTAGCAAATCCTCATAGCATGTATTCTCTTGCCTGGACCAATACTTTTGTTCAAACCATCAGGGAACAACATCCAGGGAAAAGCTTGTGGCAAACAGTCAGGTATCTTGATCCACAAACTATAAGAACAGTGGCTGGTCAGAAAAAAAGACAGCAAGAAGAAAAGAAAACCGGCTCAAAAAATAAAACTGATTTAACACAGGTGTGAGCTGAGACAGAGAAGGTTGGTCTGACCCGTCTGCTCCTGAGTTGCGGACTCTCTGAGCTCTAAAGGGACTCTACTTTCAACGCCCCTCCTGCTCACGTGCATGTCCGGGTAAAGAGAACACTTCATGCGCATACTGCTAACTCCTTCAGACCACTCCAGTTCTCGCTGCCCAAAGGCAAAGTGGTAGTCAGTGGGAGGAGGAGTAGTGAGGAGAAGGACTGAATTAGTGTGCAAAGGAAAAAAGTGTGTGCATGTGTGCAAGTGTGTGGAGGTGAGCATAGGAAAGAGGTAAAAGGACAAACCGAAGTATGCGAATAAAAGGGAGCAACTATGTGTGAATAATATCCATGTATGCAGAGCACAGAAAGACAAAGTGTGTGCACGGGGACAGTGATGCGTAAGTGTGAATGTCACACAGTCTGATTATTGCAAGGTCAAGAATCAGCCAGCCAAATGTATACTTATGTGAACAGCTACAGTAAAAACAAACCATTCACTGTTCAGGAAGACAGAACAGTGGTTACACAGCAAGCTTTTATGTTTGATCTATGCCTTGGAGTCAGTGTTTTTGTCTTCGTGCTCCTGCATGAAAATAGCATCGCTGGTAGCACTCAGAGTTACTTGGAGCTTTTAAGTTCCTATAAAAAACAAAAGTCCAACTCTGCACTGAGATGGCAGGTTAAAACCTGATTTGTATTAAACATTACTTTGTGGTTTGGTCATCCTGGCCTTTCTTTAGTCTCCAGATATGGAGACTAAAGAAACATCTGTTTAGTTGAAGCTCAAAATGTTTCAGTTTTTGCTGAAATTATCATAAATGTATAAATTCAATTATATGTCTATTATTGAGGTCACAGTTAAAGGTGGTGTTATACTGGTGTTGTACATTTTGAGCCTCATAAACACAGATGGTAAGGGGGAAGTGTTGAATTGAATTGCATACAGTTGTACAGGTGTACCTAATAAAGTGGCCAGTGAGTGTGGGCCAGCACCACTGTGAGGAACAGTTTCACACTCAAATTTGTCTGAGACTGTAAATTAGAAACCATTCCAAGGCTTTGGTAGGCTGATTATTTAAGACCTGCATTTATCCAGAAAGGGGTTCCCTTTTTTTTGGACAAATGTAAATCATGTCACATGTTCATGTTTAGAAGAAAACAAAACTTTTTTCATTGTGGGTCCTCAGACACTTACTGTACACCTTCTTGCTCAATGCATTATTCATTATGTCCACTTTAACTACTGTTCCGCTTTGTTTTCTCTCTTGATCAAACACAAAGACCCACCTGTAGCATGTGTTGTCAGAGCAGGGATTGTGCACTCGGACAATGATGAAGACATGTTGAAAGTGAGAGCGAATGGCCTTGGGAGTGAAGGGGTGAGCACCGGGTTCCTGGAACACAATGGTCACTATGTCGTTGCCTATATGGCGCTTCCTCAGCAACTACGCATTGAAAAACAGCAAAGTCTTAATTAGAGAAGTATGGGACTTCGAACTGACAGCAAAGTCATACAAACCATTCCGTTTAATGGCACTCAAAAACATGTTGTGCTAAATGTTCCTTTAAAATAAAAGTTGAAAGGGAATCAAGTCTGATATAATCAACACAGCCTTCCTTTTAAGGTGCTTTAACTAAGATTTCACAAATTGTCTGATAAATTAAGTAAAAATAGGACAGGACACAGTATCTCTGTACTCCCCTACCCCCCTCTCATGGAGGTGGGTAGGGGAGTACCCTACCCTGTTATTCTAGCTACCCTACACTGTGTTGACAAAGTACATTCTGTAAATCAGCCCCATCTGTTAGCGAAATTTGTAGGTTAGCAAAGTTTGGTAGTCATCTAACACTAGCTTCGGACTGGAGGCTGCATTTTGTACAGTTTGTCACAACCAGGCATCCTTAGTCACTACGAAACAGGATGTGATGGGAGGGGCAAACAGCAGTTAGGAACAGCTCATGGTGTCACTATGATTCTCACTAGACCCTCTAGTGGCTGAAAAGAAAATAGTTGGAGTTGTTTTAAGGTCTTTCCAAACAAAGGACTTTTCCCACTTCCTGATACACAGTTAATGGTATACCACAAAAGGCTGGTCTCTCCATTTTTACCTGTTGTTTGTTGTTGGGTGTGTAAGGCAACAGAGTCGACACATGGAACATGATCTCATAGTCCTTGTATGAAGTGTACAGGGAGTGAGTACCCGTGGAATCCGCTGCAGGAAATATAGCAATACAGTGTTGAGATCAAAGGTACAGTTACTCTCTCACATATTCTGTGCTTGGTGATTTTTATGCAAGGCAAGACTACTTTTTACTATAGCCCAAACAACTAAACAATAGTGAACTGTGGATCAATGTCATTGTGAATAAGATGCTCTATAAACTATTACAGCACATCTATGCACTCATTAGAACCACTGAGGGATAACTGTTGTCACAAGAGCTATAAAAATATACAAAAAAAGATAAGTCAAATTGTCACAAGTACAAAGCTGGAATGAGAAAACTGGGTCCACCTAAAGCAAATATTTGACTAAAAGTGAATAAAGAGGGCAAAGTACAAGCACTATAACGTAGAGTGCCATATAAGAAGGGGAAACCCAACATGCTACCCTGAACCTGCATGTAACTGCTAAAACTAAAGAAAAACTAACACAGAGCAGGATTGCTAGTAAAAAAAAAGCTGGAGCCACTTGGCAGCACAAGATATAATATATTGTGATAACTGGTTGCTGCATCATAACCTGGGTCTTGTATGAATAAAAGCACAAACTGCGTGTTTGTGTCTGTATGTCTACTGTATGTCTCATCTACTATAGGAGTGTGTCTGGGAACTGTTACTTTTGGTGTCCAGCTGGGCTCTGTACTTGGTGAAGCCCTTAAGGCGAACCTTCTCCCCAAGCAGTTGGAGAAATTCTTCCAAGGCGGGACCGGCTGTCTCGTTGTTGTACATCCCCTCTTCTGTACTCTGGCCTGCTCGGCAGTACATCACCCCCACTTTCACCTGAAAACTCAGCTGGGGAACACAAAAACATGCAGACACAATACTTCTTTAACACTTCACGTCAGGACAGAGTACTATATAGTAACTCACAAGACACAAATTCCCTTCTTGTATAAGCAAAATAAGGCAAACAAATGGACACAATCATAAAAAGCTCTGATTATGCAAATTAATACTTGTCCTCCTACCCCTTGTTCGTCCAGTTTCATCAGCTGCTCAGTGACTTTGGGTGTGTTGAGGGACAGTCTAAGGCAGGACAGATCCAGCTCAGGGAGAAGGTACTCCAGTATGTCTTTGATGGGCAGCCCTCGGGTGGTGCCGTGCTTAGAGGTGGAAGGCACTGCATCCTCCAGGATAGAAACTCGGAGAGTCGTCAGCTGAATGGATAGAGACAGAGAGGAAGAGGGGATTACAGTGTTAGAAGAGAAAGAACACACTCAGGAACCCTTGGTGTGCTTTGAACTTCTCTTGGACATGGAAGACACTGATAGTCGGAGGTCACTAAAATTAATGTTAAGTCGGTGTGTAACTTCGCTAAAACAATGTCGGACTCCGTAGTTTTCTCTGGACCCCTACCCAATGTGACCAGTGATGACATGTTTAGCCGCATGTCATTCAACCGCTGGCTGTCTAGGTGGTGCCCAGAAAATAACGTGGGCTTCATAGACAACTGGAAAACATTTTGGGGAAAACCTGGTCTGATTAGCAGAGACGCCATCCATCCCACTTTGGGTGGTGCGGCTCTCTTATCTAGAAATCTGGACGAGTTTGTTTTACAACCTAAATTATGACAACCCAGAGTTGAGTCCAGGATGCAGGGTCACAGTCTTACACGCCTCTCTGCTGTCTCCTTGCAGCTGCTACCCACCCAACGCTCCCAGTACCCCATAGAGACTGTGTCTGCCCCCCGCCCACTTAAATTATATAAATCAAGAATCAAGAGGAGGGGCAGCACGGTGGCACAGTGGTTAGCGCTGTTGCCTCACAGCGAGAAGGTTCCAGGTTCGGGCCCCACCTGGGACCTTTCTGTGTGGAGTTTGCATGTTCTCCCCGTGCTTGCGTGGGTTCTCTCCGGGTACTCCGGCTTCCTCCCACAGTCCAAAGACATGCAGCTAAATTGCCCATAGGAGTGCATGTGCGTGCGTGTGGTTGTTTGTCTATGTGTTAGCCCTGCGATGGATTGGCAACCTGTCCAGGGTCCCCCCCGCCTTCGCCCGCTTACCACC